AAAGATTCAAGCTATTTGGGCAAGAACTTACTATTTGACAAAATCTTCTGGGAAAACTGGAAAGCATACACAAAACTAGGCATAGACCAACATCTCACAACAAATACCAAAAAAAAAAAAATCAAAATGGGTACATGATATTGACATAAAGGGTGATGTCATAAGTGAATTAAAGGATCATGGACAAAATTCCTTGTCAGATTTATGGATAAGGGAAAAAAAAATATTACCAAACAAGAGGTAGAATGGTTAATGGAAGGTAAAATGGCTAATTGTTACTACATTAATTAAAAATACTTGCATAAACAAAACCAATGCAGGGGCAGCTAGGTGGTGCAGTGGATAGACTGCCAGCCTTGGAGTCAGGAGGACCTGAGTTCAAATCTGACCTCAGACACTTGACATTTACTAGCTGTGTGATCGTGTGCAAGTCATTTAACTCTGATTGCCTCAGAAAACAAAACAAAACAAACAATAACAACACAAAACAATGCAGCCAAAATTAGAAGGAAAGCAGAAAACTGGGGGGCAATTTTACAGTGAGTTTCTCTGATAAAGGTCTCAACCATTCCATAATTGATAAATGGTCAAAGTATATGAACAGACAGTTTTCAGAATAAAAAAAATCAAAGCTATCAATGTTCATATAAAATACTCTAAATCACTAATAAGTAGAGAAATTGTAAATTAAAACAACTCTCAGGTACTAAGATGGCAGAAAATGAAAATGACAAATGCTGAAGGGGAAGTGTGAAAATAAGGACACTAATATGGAGCTGTGAACTGGTCAAACTATTCTGGAGGACAATTTGGAAGTATGCCCAAAGGGACATAAGACTGTAAACACCCTTTAACCCAAAAATACCAATACTAGGTCTGAATCCCAAAGGAATCAAAGAAAAAGGAGAAAAGACTTATATGTGCAAAAGTATTTATAGTAGCTCTTTTTGTGGTGGCAAAGGATTGGAAACTGAGTGGATGCCCATCAGTTGGGGAATGGATGAACAAATTGTGGTATGTGATTGTGATGGAATACTACTGTGCTGTAAGAAATGACAAAGTAGTTGGTTTCAAAAAACACAGGAAGACTTGTACGATCTGATGAAGAAGGAAGTGAGCAGAACCAGGACAACATTGTACATAGTAACAGCAACATTGCAATAACAACCAACCGTGAAGGACTTAGTTACTCTGATCAGTACAATAATCCATGATGATTACAAAGGACTCATGATGAAAAATGCTATCCACCACCAGAGAAAGAACTGACAAACTCTGAGTGCAGATTGAAGCATATTTTCTTTCATTTTCTTGTTTTTTTTTCTTTTACAACATGGCAAATATTGAAATATGTTTGACATGACTTCATATGTATAATGGGAATCATATTTCTTGCCTTCTCAATAGATTTAGGTTGCGGTAGTAGAGAGGGGGAGAATTTGGAACTGAAAACAAAATAAAACAAACAAACAAATTCAGTCAGATCTCAGACCTCAAAGTCCAACACTTTTTCCACCATTCCACATGGACGTGAAACTGGCGAGGAAGTGCTGACAACTCTTTAACAGACTCCGTTTAAAGCCCTGTCTAGGCAGGCCAAGCTATGGCTTTCCCATGAAATAGCTTTTTCTTAACACCCAGAGTAGTAAGCTCAGATTGGGTATTTGTCTTTCCTTTTTGTAGTACCTTCAATTCAGGAAATGGGTGTGAAGTAGAGAGCTGTTTCCCTCTAACAATCTCCAAAAAAAAAATTATGATTATTTATATAACTAACTGATCAGTATTTTAATAATGCTTTTTAAGATTGTTCATACTTCTAAAATTGCCTCTGCTTCAAAATCTAAACAAAAATTTTTAACAACAATAACAAAACACACATGGGAACAATTTCTTCATTGAGATCCATCCGAAAGCAAAAGTTTCTGGTTTTTGCATGACAACATTTTTATTACACTATTGAAAAGCAAGTGTAAACCCAACTGAAACTTTCAGTGTCTTGCTTCCTTATTCTGTGAAAAAATGGTAATAATCATCAATTCAATATGACATTATTATTGAAATTATGTTTCCATATATAAAACTGATCATATTTGAAATGTTTAGTTACTCTGAATAAGGGCACTAATTAGAGAATAAAATTATTACAACCCCAAACTACCGGAATTAGTACTTACACCACCCTTCATATGTCTTTTGAAAATCAAGGTATTATAAGAGCAGCTGGGTGGCACAGTGGATAGAGCACTGGACCTGGAGTCAGGAGAACCTGACAAATCTGGCCTCAGAAACTTGACACCTACTAGCTGTGTGACCCTGGACAAGTCACTTAACCTCGACTGCCTCACCAGAAAAAAAAAGAAAGAAAATCAGAAAATCAAGGTATTACAATAGCTACTGTAAGATAACTAATGTCATTTATATTCTTTCCTGTCAATCTATTTTGTTTAGAGGAAGGTAGGGGAGAGGAAAAGAAATCCAAAGCATATCACGTGCAAAATGAATATTTATATTCTTACAGCTACTTCTTCATAGATTGCTCGAAATGAACAAAATTGTTAATGCTAAAGGAAAATTTGGAATAATGAAACAGAAAATTACCATTTGACTTAACTTTTTGTCATTCCTAAAGTTTTAAAAGTAAATTTAATTAACTTTTTAAAATGATCACAGCTACATTTAAATAACCTGATTATTGCCTGTTATTATCCCACCTGTAGAGTGAGTTCTGGGATTCAAATGCATCCACAAATACTATAAACAGAAGGCTCTAGATAATAAGAATTATTGAGGTGGCATATGATATATGTTTTTTGAAAATGTTTCATTCAATTAGCTAATTTAGGTAACTAGGCTTCACTGAGCATTAATTAAATGTAACTGTGTATGGCTGGTAAACTGTAGATAAGAAATGCAATTTAATTTTTTCTTATTTTAGCTTGGCTTTAAAATTTGAAATGAATGAGTCCTGGCATGCATAAGATATCTCTCCTGTGCTTATCCTACTTTATCTTAGCTTCTACTAATCTAGTCAAAATAAGTATATGAGATAAGCTATGGGAGTTTGAAGCATTATCTAAATGACAAGTAACATCTAACAAAATAGTAAGACATGCATTCAGATCTGATGTCATCCTTGCCAGCCCTTACGGAAACACGTTTACTTGGTTTTACAACTTCTCCTATTTACAATTTCTCCTATTTAGTGAAGAACTTTATTTAAATCAATTCATACAAGGAAACGATTGCCCAAAAAGTACAAATATGCTTTATTGTGGATTAAAAATTATTAGTATATTTTTATGTACATAAAATAGCCAACCTTTGATAGCTGGATACCTTAATCCATAGCGTATGCCACATCTGTGCTTGTAAAAATCTCTATATCACCAGCAAATTTAGTCAAGGCTGAAGCATTTATTAGAGTATAAATTAATTATAGCTCTTGGAGGGTTGCAAGGTTAAAAAAACAAAAGTCTTGAATTCATAAAGAAATCATGCATTAAATTGAAATAAAGTTTAATCAGAGTATTAGTTGAATAATAATATACTCTATTTGAATTACAGCATGTCTTTGCTATTTATGCTAATCAACTTAAACTATATTAGCGTAATTAATGAAAAAATTTTTTATCCCACTAAAACAAACCAGGCTGACTTAAATGGTAATCCATTCAAATCTTCTATTTTTTTTTTGCATCATACTTACACAGAAAAAAAAGCTGAATCTTTGTTTTTTTTTTTTTAAAGTACACGCACACCCAGACCAACAAACATACCTTTATATGTTTTCTTAGAGTATGGCGAAACAGATACCTTTTGTGAAATACGTCACTCTCATCAAGAAAGACACACAATTCCCATGGTCACTACACCACTTTTATTGCCACATTTCTGTAGAGAAGATGAATTCAAATATATTCACATAAACTGCATATAAGAGAATACTCAACAAAATAAATAAGTTATGCAACTCATATTAGGCAAAAATGTTTGTAGACCAGCACTTGCTGTATAATAGGAAGCAAGCTTAGACACCACCATTATCTGCTCCTTTCTTAAAGGAGGATTACTGTAGCACACAAGTTGCCTTCCAATATACATACATCACTTGTTTTCTATTGAAATGAAAGGCTGCCATTGTTATAGGAATGGTTGATTACCTTTGGAAGGAAAGACTTTGAAAAGTTTTATTTTATGACCACAGTGACAATTTTTGATAATGAGACAGGACACAGATAAGAGTTATCTGATAGATCTTTGACATAGATATGGTTCTTTTTGTTTTCTTGCAGAATAATGTGTTTCCATAGGCCTATCTAGCAGGGATGCTACATTAAAGGTATTTTAAGCCCTCCATACAGCATGTTTGTTGGACAAAGTAAAGTGTATTCTTCCACTTGTTGGAGAGGAGGTGGGTGGGTAACTGTGAGGACAAAGAAGAAAAGAAGGAAAAAAAGGGAAAGGGAAAGGGAAAGGAAAAGGGAAAGGGAAAAGGAAAGGGGAAAGGGAAGGGGAGGGAAGCAGAATGAGGGTTGTCCTGACCAAATGCTATACATATTTGGAATAAAAAATCCTTTCTGTACTTGCCCCTCCAAATGCCTTTTCCTTTTCTCCTCAATGCCTTCTTCCCTATACAATTCCCTTTACTTCAACCCCCATTCTGGCCCAGCCACCAAAGAGGAATGAATCCACGTTATGGCAAAATTATAAAGAAAAAGAAACCCTGGTGACCCTGGGGCTCTGGGGGAAGGAAATAAACATTTTAAGACACAGAGCTAAACTTAGAGCATCTGATGAAATCTGGTCAAAAATAATGAAAAGTCTGGGAGGAAAGAAAATGCAGAAGAAATCTGCATAAATTACAGAAGGGTTTTAAGTGCATGGATAAGTGATGTATCTTACACTAAAATGATTCCTTAAATTGTAATAATGAAAGTAAGAAAATATGCTTTTTTTCTTAAAAAACAAAACAAAAAGTTAATAAAATATTTTCTCTGCACCAAAATATTCTTTGGAAAATAAAAATAAAAATGTTCTGTGTATGTTCTTTCAAGTTGTTTTGTAAAAATCATCAAAATACACAGTCCAATCCTGAAAACAGAGGTCCAAATGCCATTGAGAATTAAGCCAACAAAAGGTTTTCCATTTCACTGATTTGAAGCCACCTTCTTCCCTTTAGATTCCTGCTAAGAGCATCACTTGAGTTAGCACTCTTCCTCACCGTCAAACAGCAGCATTGCTTGGGTCTAGAGATATAAATTGTTACCTCCCTGCACGTCCTTAGTGGAGAAAAGTGCAGCTCGGCCTGCAATCCTAGGCCTAGAACTCTGAAGATACCCATAGCAACGACTGAAGAGAAAAAAAAAGTCTCCTCACAACACCGACTGCTATCCAAAGCGAAACTTGAGTCTATATTTGACTGTATTTGGCTTCTTTCGAGGTGTAGGAAGGGGGACCTTTGGTTTGACCAGGTGAGGAGGTCGCTTGTTTTTTTCTGGAACAGTGACTGTAAAAGAAAGTTCTGGCTGCTCTGACTGTTTGAATCTGGGAAGGAAATGGGTAGAAATATGTTGGGGTTTGACCCTTGGGCTGCAGCCTCTTTTGGCTTTACCTCTTTTGTTCAGTGCCACATACCATTCTCTTCCAGTCTTTTCTGTCCTGTGGATGGCTGAGGCATAGGTATTATAGCTGTTTTCTTGAAACCGCTCCTTGAATTTGCAATCATCTGTAAACCTGGCCTAGAAAACAAAAGGAGAGAATTTTGACTATCGGAAGGCAGCCTTGAATAGATTTGAGCTGCAAAATTTTCAGCATGTTATTTTTTAAAGTTTGAATTCCAGTAAGAGAAGCCAAAGTTTCTATTGATCCCTATTCCATTCCCTAAAATAAAACTGCCCAGACGTTGCTATCACTATCATCCTCAACACTGTTCCGTCGTTCACAACGCTGATTTCTGTGCTGAGTTACTACAGGCTCAGTAGCCCAAACATTAACATTCATAAAAGCAATGATTAGATGCCTTAATACATTTAATTATTGTTAACTCTATGAAAAGCCTAAAAATAAATGACCCTTAAGATCTGTAGTCACTTGCAGATTTGCAGAAAAAGCACTTTCTTCTAAGTCAGACTCTTGCAAATTCCTGAACCCTTAGCCTTAGAAGTAACCAGAAAACATTTCCCCAAGAAATTGTCCCTTGGCAACACATGCATTTGTGTTCTGTGACCCGGGGTTATATAATGCCCTTGAAACAAGTATAAATTTTCCATCATTATCAGTAAGACTTAGACTGCTAAGAAAGGGCCATCATGTAGCTTTATTCAGATTTTGTTATAGCTCTTTGGTTTTTTATTTTCTCACAGGCATAGACGCAGAGTGTTGGTGACTTCCAATTATTTTTTTTCTTTTCTGAATCAAACATTGATTGCTTTATTAGAGGATATGTTTTCTTTATAAAGAAATAAGTAATATGTAAATATAAGAAATTATTTCTGTGTAAATATCTAATATAAATTAATATAAACATACATTATTTATATAAACATAATAATGAATAAATTATATAAAGTTTTATTAAGAAATAAATAATACAAATAACATATATAATATATAAATAATATAAATATATATTATTTATATGTTAATAATATAAATCTGTATATAGAAAATATAGCATCCAATAAGTATATAAAGCAGTCAATGTTTCATTCAGAAAAGAAAAAAAATATATGTCACTAATACTCTGTGTCTATGCCTATGAGAAAACCAAAAAGTAATTCTAGGAAGGAGCGAAGTGGTAGGGAGAGATAACAACAGAAATGATATGTTTACATAATGACATTTTCCCTTTTTTTATGGAAATACATTATTTGCTGAAAAGGGAAGGAAAAAAAGACATTTTGTGTAAAATAGAGAAAAGGGGAAAAACACAGATTGTGTTGAGAGAAACGAAGAGGAAAGTAGACCTTCAGATAAAAGTTCTGAGACGACTGGAGGAAACTCTTTTCAGAGTAGTGACTGCATTATTTTCCCACTGCTAACTTGAATATAACTTTTTTCAGGACTTCAGGAGTTTGTTACCAGGAAACTCCAAATCAAAGGACTGTTTTGGACTATGGGACTAATGTATGATAACCATTTATGCTATATTGGACATTACTGTGGATTCTGGGTTTCTCAACCTAAGTTAGAGATAGGTCATTGGGAGTCTGATTCAAGGTTTTAGATACTGGAGGAAAAAAAATCAGATCATGCCTGTTTGAAAGTGCTGATTAGAGAAAAGGAAAATCCTTTAGTATGGGATGAAGAATTGATCGTAGGGCAGTAGAAAAGCTGCATTGCTTTCTAACACCATCTACAGCTTGAAAGAGGAGTAAAACCTTGAAAACTTATCTATATTTCCCTTTAATTCTCTCATAAGGGGAAAACCCATCACAGCCTGTAATGGTGGAGGGGAATTTTAGACAACCCAGAATTAAAAAGAAGTGCTTTTTTCATTGAAATAGTACCACATTGTCTTAGCTTTTAGCCAAAGGAAGCCAGAACTTCTGCAGACTTCACTTATAAAGATCATTTTACGTAAAAGATCTTAACCTCATTTTAGTGGCCCAAGAATAACAGAAAAATAACCTGGCTCAAAAGAGGTACAGGTGACAAGGGGTACAGATTATTATCAGAAAGAATCCAGATCTGAAGATTCTAGGGTCATGAGATGCTTTGGATACATGCATTTTCCCTACTCATGTGTTTCTCTGCTATGTTTCTGTAAGAGTATAATGAATCCCTCCCCACCTGTCCTCATCCCTGGAAATCATGAAAAAGTATGACTGGTTTATAGGTAGTCTGTTAGGTTTTGATTATGACTGCTTTTGTCTTGTATTGAGTAATGTTATGTTATGATTATTGTTGCTTTTGACTTCTTATTTAGTAAATAGTTCATGTTTAAGAGTTAATGGTATCATCGTGCCTGATTTGTATAAATGTGAAGCATATAGGTGGGGGCTCAGGAGCTACAATGTGAATGTAGAGGTATAATCCCTACCCAGGTTACATCTAGAACCCTAAGAGTGAATTGTAGTCACATTTCTGTCCAAATATGGAAAATCACTCCAACCTACCAGTGAGAACAAAGGTGGGATGAGCAAGGCAACTCCAAGAGAGAGAGAAAGGGAGAGAGAGAGAGACAGACAGACAGACAGACAGACAGAGAGACAGAGAGACAGAGAGAGAGAGACAAAGAGAGAGACAGAGAGAGAGAGAACTGAGTATTATTGGAGTCACATCTCTATATGAGCTACAATGATAAAGCTCTTCAGAGGTTCCAAAGCTATTTCACATTTCACTCAACACTTAACAATTGTTCATGAGAACAAACCCTAAAATCTGACATAGCTTTAGAAAGAAATTTTAGGTCACTTAGTATAGATATGTCTGGAAAGAAGTGACTCCCTCTTCCAGGTTCTGGAAGGTTTAAATTATATAGATTTTGATAAAGGTATCACACACAAGTCACACATGAAATCACATGAAGGGATTCCAAAACATAAGCCTGGGTGGACACCCAAGACTGAATGTGAATTCAGGACCTGCAGGAACCCCAAATTCCTTTTAGTTGTCTCTTCCATTCCTAGAGAGTTACTGGGGTCAAGATGACATTCTGGTGCAAACAGTCTCTAAAATGTCATAATAATTAGTTTTCCAAACAATCTAATAAAGCATTCTTTCCACACAATAATGCTGAGATAGGTAGAGTGGGCATTATGATCTACTTGGAATATTTGGGCCACATGTAATTTGGGGCATATGGAAAGAACTAGATACCAATGACATTTAATTTGCTTATGCTGGTTATTTACAGGTGGGTGTAGTTTGAGTTCTGATGGTAGCCTTTATTTGGGAATTGTGTCCTTGTGCATTCAAATTTTCTAAAACTCTACTATTGATAGTGTTTAACAATCACTATGTTTGAAATACAATGAGCTGAAAACTACTACTTTACTAATGCTACTTTAAACAAAATGTAATATCTTTGGGATCTTGATCCCATATTCTAGAAATCCTTTTAAGGTAACAGCTAATGCAGGTATCATTTTAAGAAACCACATAGTAATTTCTTTTATATTTTTAACAAAGAAATGATTTATTACAAATAAAAGTGTGAATTTGCTATTAATTTCTTAGCTTTTTGAAGTATTGATATGCTCTCCTGTTTAAATTATATAGTCTTAAAGTTTTAGCATAAAATAAAAGCTAGAGCTCTCAGGGATGAAAAGATAAGCATCTTAGAAATGATGAGGGAGTTGAGTTTTAGAGGAAAGTAGATGAAATGAAAGTATTTTTATATCCTTGAATTTTTTCTTGAAATGCAGTTGAATACAATGAAAAATGTCTTACACATGGTTCACTGACCTCACTTTCACTTCTGTCTTAGAAAATCCATTGTCTCTAAAACTTAGAATTGGGAATGATTAGCATTGGGAAAGACCAGAGTTCGAGCTAAGTATATTGAAATGTATTGAACTCTTTGGTCCCTGATTTGTATTTATTTCCCTTAAAGATGCAGTGAAAAAAAGGTGTAGAGGATTTGACAAGGTTTGTTATCACTGTTGTTGTTTGTTCAATGGAAGGGCCTTATTTCATTATCATCGATACACAAACCTTGCTTTTCTGGTCTTAGTTCCTCTCCTTGGGATCCAGAACATTAGTGAAAATCCTCCCCCAAAAACTCCCTCTCCAAAACTCTTGTTCCAAAAGCCCTGATGTTCAAGAGGAAGGCATCCATTTTTCACAGTGCATCTTCAGTTAAATGAGGGGAGTTGTTGATGAGAGAATATTTCAAAAAGTTTCCAGAATATGAATAGGGTCCAATGACCATTTGAGAGATGAGTGATAATCAGTGGAAGCACCTCACCAATCTCATTGCATACACACACCAATATATGGGGTGAGACCTCAGTCTCATAGATTTTTTTTGGACATCTCAATTGGTCTTTAATTAAATATTTTGTCTGGAAACTTCCTTGAATTTTGGCGGAAAAGACCCATTTGAAGCAAACATTTCAATTAAATGCTTCTTCAGAAAATATAGCTTTTCTACGAAGAAACTTCACCCAAAATAAGTATTCCTAGCCTTATGCATACATGATGCTAAAAAGCATGCAAGACACCCTTTCATGTCATGCAATGAGATTTTTGTGCTGACTAAGCTTGAATTCCTGTACACCTCCAGCAGATTTTTTTAGAAACATAAATTTCCCCGTTGCAATTTTCTATGAAGCCACTAGGTGGTGCAGTGGATAGAGCACTGGGTTTCATGTTAGGAAGTCCTGAGTTCAAATGTCACCTCAGACACTTACTGGCTAGTTGACCCTGGGCAACCTCTGTTTGCCTCAGTTTCTCCAACTATAAAATGGGAATAATAATATCACTTCCCTTCCAGGGTTGTTATTAGGATCAAATGAAATAATAGTTGTGTAGCACTAAGTACAGTGCTTGGCACATAGTAGGTACTGAATAAATACTTATTCCCTTCCATGAGATTTCAGTGAAAACATCATTTTGATTAGAAGCCAGATAAGTATTCTATTTACTAATTCAATATAAATAATGTAAGAGAACTAGATTTATTAAAACATTAAGAGATCTTTTTTAAAATTTCTGATTAATCAGTCAGCTCACCAGTTGCATGTATTAAGCTCCTTTTATGTGCCAGGCACTGGGGATAAAAAGAAAGGCATAA